TTGGTCCTTTATCATAAGATTGGCTTTTTTTTTGGTAAAAAATAATGATATCCAAATCATTGATTATTATATTATACAATATTAAATCAATTAAATTGTTTATAATAATAATTATTTATAAATTACTTATTATTAATATCTTACCTGTACATCATTTAGAAAGTTTATCTGATAATATGAACTTTACAATCACAAATTGCATCTTCATCCACATGCTGCGAATTTTAAGTTTTATCTTGCCTGGGTATTCAATCGCTTCGTACGTGGAGCAAATTATTTTATAAAAGCTTTCATCTTGCTTAATTAAGCGAGCCCTTCAGTTGAACCAATATAAAGAATTTGAAAATACGATATCTAATTTTTAATTTTGGGTTATGTGAAAGGTTTGTATTTATTTTTTTATATGATCAAACACTCATTATAACAGTATTCATTTTTATTTTGGCTAACAATTATACCTTTGTGGTTCCACAGTTTGTAAAATTGGGATGTTGTAGCATAGATACAGATTGTAATAATTGTTTGGGCGTATGATAAGTTTAAGATAATATTTAGATATGTATAAATAATATTCCAGAAAAAATAAATAAGTTATCTGAAATACTTAAAGGTAATATGTTAGCGTTTTCTATTTCATTACTTCATATTCAGCTTTCATGGTCATATTAAAAAAAAATCTTTTTTTCTAAGTAGGTTTTACTCTTTGTCTTTTATAATATTCGATTCTTTAACTACAGGACATATCATTTAGGAAGTAATTATAATTAATTTTTCAAATTCTTTTTTGTACAATAAATTTGATTTTGCCAATATATTGATAAGTAATCGTTATACCTTTGACTGATAACAGCCTTAAAACTGTGAGTCGGTCATCTAACGAAAGTAATGTCGTGTAACCAAATTAGGGTATGTAACGCGGTATATGAAATTGTTGTAGGGTATATATTATAATAAATGAATTATACTTTATTATTAGCGAAGGTGAGGATTGTCTTTCTCGGTGGGCCAAAATGGCCTTTACTTATAATTAATAAAATCTGTATGCTTTTGTGAAATATACTTGAAATGTTATCTATACACCTATATTACTTATACTATTGAAGCTATCGATGCGCCTAATATCCATCCACCTGATCGCATTCGTTGTAACGAATGTAACGAATACGACCAAGGGGCCCAACTTTGGTTACAGATCTTCTTGCCAAATAACCGGGGTAAATTTTATTTCTATAGGCCTGGAGTTGGTCACATGTATAAAATGAAAACTGCGGATTTAGATAAAATGGATACAGTACGTTGAGTAGGCTGAAATCGGTCGGTCAATCGTTCCGCAGCAATCGGGTCACCGACCAACAAAACTCGGGTCAGGAAATCGAAAGAAACGTGTTAGATTTGGACGAGTGGTTAATAACGAATGTATATAGTTTATTATGTATATGTTTATAAGACTTAGATGTTTTATTATTTAGTAAATCGGGTCTTATTTTTCCCAAGGGCCAAAAGGCCTTTATTTTATAATAACAATTCTGTCTATAAAATCTACCTATTCTACCAGAATCGTCAATAATCCTATTTATGCCCTTAATGACAGAAACACCAATAATCCAATAATGCCCTTATCGACAGAATCCCCATTAATCCCAGAATCGCTGTTTCTGCCATTTCTGTCAATTCTAGCAGAAATGGATTTTCTGGAATTTCTGGCCAAGAAACCCGAATTTGGAAATAACCGGATCACGGGAGCACGTGCCTGCGGTCAGGTCACGTTTCCAATTTCACAACGTTATAGTAATAGTAATAGGACAAAATAAGAAATTTCGGATGTTTAACAAGAGGAAATGATCTATCTAAGTTCAAAAAAAAAAAACAATCAGATAATTATTTCATATAGAAATGGTCCTATTTATATGCTTGATTTTAAGTTGAGTGGCTTTTAGAAATACTGAGGATAGTGTAGTGAAGCGAACTATTTAAATCCGGATGATCTGGATTCATAAAATCAAATCCCGTATAATACGGATTTACACAATATCAAATCCGGATAATACGGATTACACAGAATCAAATCCGTATTATACGGATT